GGAAGGGTCTTTGGGGCCTGTATGTATTTGACCAGGGTTTGTGATATCATATTGATGTTTCTGCAGTTGATTTGGCTCATGTCTATAAGGCCAGGGTCTGTGGGGCCAAATATACCTTAAGCAATGTCTACAAATTACTTTCTATGTGGCTGAGGTCTTGGGACATTTGTCTAACCGGCAGGGGTCTGTAGGGCCCTGAACTCTGTGGACAGGGTCTGTGGAGCTATGTCTACTGACCCAGGATCTGTGGGGGAGGTCCTTTATGCACCCGGTGTCTGGAGGGCCACGCCGACAGTGCTAGGGTGGGTGTGGGCATGCCACTATGAGGCTGATGTCTGTGGGGCCCTGTATTTGCTTTGATTTTAGACTCTGATATTTCTGATATGTCTGAAATGCCAGATTTCAAAGCATTACTTGTGGGTTTTTTGTTTTTTGTTTTTGTCAGCCATCGGGCTGGCTCAAATCGCCGTTCTCAGATCTCAGCCTCCCATTGTTCTGAGAGCTCAGCCTTCAGGTTGTTACTGGATCTACAGAGTTGGGCCCTTCTTCCCTTCAGCTCTGTCCCACCCTAATCCCCTCTCCTCCCAAGTTTATAGGAACTTGATTTGCTGGGTTTTTCTGAAACCCTTCACTGCCACTGCCATGGCTTAACCCCACCCAGGGAGAAACTCAGGCCAGCATCCAGGCAGGGTCAGGGTAACATTAGGGTGTGTGTGGGGGCATCTTGTCCCAGAGCAAGACCCACCCCATCCCCCAACATTATTTAAATCTGCCTGTATCTGGGAGTCACCTGTTTAACTGTCCTGGCACGTGGCATATTGTGGCATATTGCTAGGAGGATAGGGACTCATTGAATCATGTGACTTTGCCCTAGAAGGCATTATAGAGAGCTGGTAAGTGGATCTTGCATCCTCAAAGCCCCTCTCTCATGGGGTACACCCAAGATCCCTTCCCCCCTCCAGAATCAGCTGGAAAGCTCTTTTAAAATAGTTGGGAGTCAAAGCCTTAGCAATGCCACTGGGGTGCTGAGCTCCCTTAGCCTGCTTTATTTGTCTTCATGAAAAGACCATACCAGTGCAATCTTGTTGCATTCAAGTTATGCTACCACTTGAACTGAGTTTGCATTTCAGAGCTGAACAAGCTAAGATATACTTTGTTTAGAAAGGTAAATATACCCTACAGCATAAATGGGAGAATCAGCTAATTTCAAAGCATTACAGAAATCCTCTTATAAAAAAAATCACTGGGGCTGGGAAGGTGGCTCAGTGGTAGAGCACTTGCCTTGCATGCCTGAGGCCCTAAGTTCGATTCCTCAGCACAACATAAGCAAAAAGAAAAAAGCCGGAAGTGGCGCTGTGGCTCAAGTGGTAGAGCGCTAGCCTTGAGCTGAAGAACTGAGGGACAGTGCCCAGGCCCAGAGTTCAGGCCCCACAACTGGACCCCCCCCCAAAAAATAAAATCACCATCACTGTGACATGTTGTTGTGTTTATATCACCCTGTGATTTCAACTAAGTCTACATTTCTTTGTGCCAGTCCTGGGGCTTGAACTCAGGGTCTGGGAACTGTGTCCGAGCTTCTTTTCTAGTAGGCTTGCACTCTATCACTTGAGCCACAGCACCACTTCCAACTTGTTTCAAAGCATTATGGAACTGCTTATTTTCCCCAAACAAAAACAGTGTAAAAATGAGATCCTGTTGCACTAATGTTATTTTATTACTTGAACTGAATCTACCTTTAAAAGTTTTCCCAGCTAAGACAGAGCATTTTTTACAGGCAAATATGTCTCTATGGTCTAAATGGAAGAATTGACTAATTTAAAAGCAATACAGAACTGCTCTTATGCCATCAGCATGCCAGAGAGACCCTGTTGCCTTCCTGTTATTCTACTACTTGAGCTGAACCTACCTTTAAGAGCTCACCCATGGAAGATGTACTATTTTGTGTTTAGAAGCAACTAGATCCCTATGACCTGAATTTGAGAATTGGCTAATTTCAAAGCATTATTGACCCATTCTTCTATAAGTAGAATACTAGCAATATCTTTTTGTACTCATTTTGCTCTACTTACATTGAGTCAACCTTTAAGAGTTCATTCAGCTAAGATATGCTGTTTGAAGTTTATATTTCCATATGTAATATACTTGGATAAGTAGATCCTTTTAATACATAATGTAGCAGTTTTCATGAAAAGAATATACTAGCAAGATGCTGCTGCATTGTTATTCTCTTATGTCAATGGACTCTATTTAAGAGCTCAATCAGCTATGATGCACCATTTTGTTTACAGAGCAAATAAATCCTTGTGACATACATGGGAGCTGTATCAGTATTGCTGGGGTCTTCATGAGGCCTGTTTCTATGGGGCTGGGGGTCTGTGGACCATGTCAACAGGATGGACTTTGGCAGGACACTTGGTTTGTAGGACTAGGTCTATGTGGCCAGTGTCTGTTGGACATACATTTATGAGGTCTGAGTCTCTGGGGTCTGTATCAACACAATCAAATTCTGTTTGTTCTGAGATTATGTGCATGGATCTGTGCACCTCATGTCTACATGCTGAGTTTTGTGGAGTCAAGAATATGCACCAGAGCTGGGAAGGTGGCTCAGTGGTAGAATGTTTGTCTTGCATTCATGAGGCCCTGTGTTGGATCCCTACCACCACATAGGCAGAAAAAGCCGGAAGTGGCACTGTGGCTCAAGCGGTAGAGTGCTAGCCTTGAGTTGAAGAGTTCAGAGACAGCGCCCAGGCCTGTGTTCAAGCCCCACGACCCACAAAAAAAATATGAGTATACACCAATGTCTGTGGGATAGACTCTGCCAAGAAGGGGCATGTAGGGCCTATATCTACTTTGTCAGGGTCTGTGGGGCTGAGTGTACTCAGTGGACATCTTTTTTTATTGGTTTATTTTTAAAAATATATGTTTCTTATTGTGAAAATACTGTATAGAGGGGTTACAATTACATGAGTAATGTAATGAGTAGATTTCTTATCAAGCATTGTTACCTCCTCCTTTGTTTTTCCCCTTCCTTCCCTCCAACCTCCTCAACTATACTTCCCCACCATCTAAATTGTAAAGTTTGTTTTTTGACATGTTACCATGGGTCAATCTGTATCCTTATTTAAGCATTTTGTTTTTTTCCCTTCCCTTCCCCAAATTAGAGATGTGTATATACAAGGTGCAGGGCATCAACATCAAATACAGTGTAAACATGGCTTACACCGTGGGGGAGGAACAGACAAAGAAACAAAAATCCCATGGTACATTATAAATACATTAGAAACAATAGCAAGGAAAAAACCCCACTTATGTCCCTATCTTGGGGTTAATTTCGCTTAACATCATCTTATATGGTCATATGTTCATAGTTTTTGATCTTTTCTGCTTATCCTAGACATATGCTAGTTATTGCAAATAAGGGAAACCATGGAACCAATGTTTCTTTGGGCCTGGCTTACTTTACTTAATACAATTTTTTCCAAGTCTTTCCATTTCCTAACAAATGGAGCAATGTCATTCTTTCTGATGGAGGCATAGAATTCCATTGTGTGTGTGTGTGTGTATCACATTTTCTTGATACATTCATCTACTGAGGGACATCTGGGTTGGTTCCATATCTTAGTTATGGTAAATAATGCTGTGATAAACATAGTTGTGCTGGTAGCTTTAGTATGGCCTTGTTTGTGATCGTTTGGGTAAATGCCCAAAAGTGGGATTGCTGGGTTATAAGGGATCTCTATGTGGAGTGTTTTGAGGAGCCTCCATTCTGCTTTCCAAAGTGGTTGAACATGTTGACATTCCCACCAAAAATGCAGTAGGATTCCCTTCTGGCCCCACCCCCTCCAGCATCTCTTGTTATTCAAATTCTTGATTGTATTCATTCTAACTGGGGTGAGGTGGTATCTCAATGTTGTTTTGATTTGTATTTCTTTTATGGCTAGGAAGATTGAGCATTTCTTCATGTGTCTATTGGCCATCCTTCTTTCTTCTTCAGAGTAGTTTCTCTTTAAGTCTTTAGCCCACTTATTTATAGGGCAGTTGTTTCTTTGAGGATTGCTGTTGAGAGATTTGATTTTTTGAATTCCAGG